CCACATTCAGGTCTCTTCACACTGCTTGTGTTTTCAATTTTTTGACATAGGGTGCTGGCAGATTACGGGCCTCCCATAGCTGCTGCCAGGCCCCTAATCTGCCATGGGCCCCTATATACCGCCTCCTCATGCTGCTGCCAAGTCCAGAGTCTCTCATGGGTCCCTGTACGGGCCTCCCATTGCTGCTGTCTCCATCGCCACACTCTGCCATGTGCCACTTTCAGGTCTCTTCACACTGCTGGTGTGTTTTCAATTTTTTGACATAGGGTGCTGGCAGATTACGGGCCTCCCATAGCTGCTGCCAGGCCCCTAATCTGCCATGGGCCCCTATATACCGCCTCCTCATGCTGCTGCCAAGTCCAGAGTCTCTCATGGGTCCCTGTACGGCCTCCCATTGCTGCTGTCTCCATCGCCACACTCTGCCATGTGCCACTTTCAGGTCTCCTCACACACTGCTGGTGTGTTTTCAATTTTTTGACATAGGGTGCTGGCAGATTACGGGCCTCCCATAGCTGCTGCCAGGCCCCTAATCTGCCATGGGCCCCTATATACCGCCTCCTCATGCTGCTGCCAAGTCCAGAGTCTCTCATGGGTCCCTGTACGGCCTCCCATTGCTGCTGTCTCCATCGCCACACTCTGCCATGTGCCACATTTCAGGTCTCTTCACACACACTGCTTGTGTTTTCAATTTTTTGACATAGGGTGCTGGCAGATTACGGGCCTCCCATAGCTGCTGCCAGGCCCCTAATCTGCCATGGGCCCCTATATACCGCCTCCTCATGCTGCTGCCAAGTCCAGAGTCTCTCATGGGTCCCTGTACGGCCTCCCATTGCTGCTGTCTCCATCGCCACACTCTGCCATGTGCCACTTTCAGGTCTCCTCACACTGCTGTGTGTGTTGAATTTTTTGACATAGGGTGCTGGCAGATTACGGGCCTCCCATAGCTGCTGCCAGGCCCCTAATCTGCCATGGGCCCCTATATACCGCCTCCTCATGCTGCTGCCAAGTCCAGAGTCTCTCATGGGTCCCTGTACGGCCTCCCATTGCTGCTGTCTCCATCGCCACACTCTGCCATGTGCCACATTCAGGTCTCCTCACACTGCTGCTGTGTGTTTCAATTTTTTGACATAGGGTGCTGGCAGATTACGGGCCTCCCATAGCTGCTGCCAGGCCCCTAATCTGCCCATGGGCCCCTATATACCGCCTCCTCATGCTGCTGCCAAGTCCAGAGTCTCTCATGGGTCCCTGTACGGCCTCCCATTGCTGCTGTCTCCATCGCCACACTCTGCCATGTGCCACTTTCAGGTCTCTTCACACACTGCTGTGTGTTTCAATTTTTTGACATAGGGTGCTGGCAGATTACGGGCCTCCCATAGCTGCTGCCAGGCCCCTAATCTGCCATGGGCCCCTATATACCGCCCTCCTCATGCTGCTGCCAAGTCCAGAGTCTCTCATGGGTCCCTGTACGGCCTCCCATTGCTGCTGTCTCCATCGCCACACTCTGCCATGTGCCACTTTCAGGTCTCTTCACACTGCTGGTGTGTTCAATTTTTTGACATAGGGTGCTGGCAGATTACGGGCCTCCCATAGCTGCTGCCAGGCCCCTAATCTGCCATGGGCCCCTATATACCGCCTCCTCATGCTGCTGCCAAGTCCAGAGTCTCTCATGGGTCCCTGTACGGCCTCCCATTGCTGCTGTCTCCATCGCCACACTCTGCCATGTGCCACATTTCAGGTCTCTTCACACTGCTGTGTGTTTTCAATTTTTTGACATAGGGTGCTGGCAGATTACGGGCCTCCCATAGCTGCTGCCAGGCCCCTAATCTGCCATGGGCCCCTATATACCGCCTCCTCATGCTGCTGCCAAGTCCAGAGTCTCTCATGGGTCCCTGTACGGCCTCCCATTGCTGCTGTCTCCATCGCCACACTCTGCCATGTGCCACTTTCAGGTCTCCTCACACACTGCTGGTGTGTTGAATTTTTTGACATAGGGTGCTGGCAGATTACGGGCCTCCCATAGCTGCTGCCAGGCCCCTAATCTGCCATGGGCCCCTATATACCGCCTCCTCATGCTGCTGCCAAGTCCAGAGTCTCTCATGGGTCCCTGTACGGCCTCCCATTGCTGCTGTCTCCATCGCCACACTCTGCCATGTGCCACATTCAGGTCTCTTCACACTGCTGGGTGTGTTTTCAATTTTTTGACATAGGGTGCTGGCAGATTACGGGCCTCCCATAGCTGCTGCCAGGCCCCTAATCTGCCATGGGCCCCTATATACCGCCTCCTCATGCTGCTGCCAAGTCCAGAGTCTCTCATGGGTCCCTGTACGGCCTCCCATTGCTGCTGTCTCCATCGCCACACTCTGCCATGTGCCACATTCAGGTCTCTTCACACTGCTTGTGTTTTTTTCAATTTTTTGACATAGGGTGCTGGCAGATTACGGGCCTCCCATAGCTGCTGCCAGGCCCCTAATCTGCCATGGGCCCCTATATACCGCCTCCTCATGCTGCTGCCAAGTCCAGAGTCTCTCATGGGTCCCTGTACGGCCTCCCATTGCTGCTGTCTCCATCGCCACACTCTGCCATGTGCCACATTCAGGTCTCTTCACACTGCTGTGTGTTTTCAATTTTTTGACATAGGGTGCTGGCAGATTACGGGCCTCCCATAGCTGCTGCCAGGCCCCTAATCTGCCATGGGCCCCTATATACCGCCTCCTCATGCTGCTGCCAAGTCCAGAGTCTCTCATGGGTCCCTGTACGGCCTCCCATTGCTGCTGTCTCCATCGCCACACTCTGCCATGTGCCACATTCAGGTCTCTTCACACTGCTTGTGTTTTCAATTTTTTGACATAGGGTGCTGGCAGATTACGGGCCTCCCATAGCTGCTGCCAGGCCCCTAATCTGCCATGGGCCCCTATATACCGCCTCCTCATGCTGCTGCCAAGTCCAGAGTCTCTCATGGGTCCCTGTACGGCCTCCCATTGCTGCTGTCTCCATCGCCACACTCTGCCATGTGCCACTTTCAGGTCTCCTCACACACTGCTGTTGTGTTGAATTTTTTGACATAGGGTGCTGGCAGATTACGGGCCTCCCATAGCTGCTGCCAGGCCCCTAATCTGCCATGGGCCCCTATATACCGCCTCCTCCTCATGCTGCTGCCAAGTCCAGAGTCTCTCATGGGTCCCTGTACGGCCTCCCATTGCTGCTGTCTCCATCGCCACACTCTGCCATGTGCCACTTTCAGGTCTCTTCACACACTGCTTGTGTTTTCAATTTTTTGACATAGGGTGCTGGCAGATTACGGGCCTCCCATAGCTGCTGCCAGGCCCCTAATCTGCCATGGGCCCCTATATACCGCCTCCTCATGCTGCTGCCAAGTCCAGAGTCTCTCATGGGTCCCTGTACGGCCTCCCATTGCTGCTGTCTCTCCATCGCCACACTCTGCCATGTGCCACTTTCAGGTCTCCTCACACACTGCTGTTGTGTTGAATTTTTTGACATAGGGTGCTGGCAGATTACGGGCCTCCCATAGCTGCTGCCAGGCCCCTAATCTGCCATGGGCCCCTATATACCGCCTCCTCATGCTGCTGCCAAGTCCAGAGTCTCTCATGGGTCCCTGTACGGCCTCCCATTGCTGCTGTCTCCATCGCCACACTCTGCCATGTGCCACATTCAGGTCTCTTCACACTGCTTGTGTTTTCAATTTTTTGACATAGGGTGCTGGCAGATTACGGGCCTCCCATAGCTGCTGCCAGGCCCCTAATCTGCCATGGGCCCCTATATACCGCCTCCTCATGCTGCTGCCAAGTCCAGAGTCTCTCATGGGTCCCTGTACGGCCTCCCATTGCTGCTGTCTCCATCGCCACACTCTGCCATGTGCCACTTTCAGGTCTCCTCACACACTGCTGTTGTGTTGAATTTTTTGACATAGGGTGCTGGCAGATTACGGGCCTCCCATAGCTACTGCCAGGCCCCTAATCTGCCATGGGCCCCTATATACCCGCCTCCTCATGCTGCTGCCAAGTCCAGAGTCTCTCATGGGTCCCTGTACGGCCTCCCATTGCTGCTGTTTCCATCGCCACACTCTGCCATGTGCCACATTCAGGTCTCTTCACACTGCTGGTGTGTTGAATTTTTTGACATAGGGTGCTGGCAGATTACGGGCCTCCCATAGCTGCTGCCAGGCCCCTAATCTGCCATGGGCCCCTATATACCGCCTCCTCATGCTGCTGCCAAGTCCAGAGTCTCTCATGGGTCCCTGTACGGCCTCCCATTGCTGCTGCCAGGAGGCAGCAGGGTCGCAGCAGTGTCAGTGGAGGCAAACGGCCACGGAGTAGAGCACCAGCTCCACTGCAGCCTACCACCACGGCCAGTGCACGGAGGGTGCCGTAGCAGTCAGCCAGTGAGGAGTAGAGGAGGCAAGTTTCCTACTCTGCGGTGTGGCAATTTTTCGTCAAGCCGCCCGAGGAAGTAACGTAGCCGTATGTCGACTATGTGGCCAGAAAGTCAAGCGTGGCCAGGGGGCCCATGTTGGGACTACAGCGTTGCGTCAGCATATGCAGCGTCGCCATTCGGTGGCCTGGGAAAACCGTGATAAAGATACGGCGGTTCTGCCTGCCCCAGCCCAGGGTTCCATTTTGTCATAGGGTTCTGGCAGATTACAGGCCTCCCATAGGTGCTGCCAGGCCCCAAATCTGCCATGGACCCCCGTACCGCCTGGTCACGCTGCTGCTGGGCCCACAGTGTGACCTGGGTCCCTGTACCGCCTCCCATTGCTCCCACTCTGCCATGTGCCACTTTCAGGTCTCCTCACACTCCTGCTGGTTTCCATTTTGTCATAGGTTGCTGTATGGCCTCCCATTGCTGCTGCCTCCACCGCCACACTGTGGCTCCAAACACTGGTTTTGGCCCCGTGACTGGCCAAATGAGTGAAGTGTGCGGTGATTCTAAGGTCGACGGCACTCATCTGCATGTCATACTGAGTGACAGTATTATTTCTCTTCCCCAGCAGACTCCAAGGGCATTTAAATTAAAGGTACAGTGTTCTGCACTAATATTAAGTCTCTCTGAAGCCTAGAAACACCCTTTTTTAAGTTAAATTCACAGCGAATTTATTCGACTCGAATCGAATATTGTCCACGAATTCGCCGAATCAGTCGAATCGAATTTTTCATTTCTTCGCTCATCTCTAGTCATAATATCAATAATCCACTTTTGCTTATTGATAAAATCAATGCCAAGAATATTCTCGGTGGCATTACTATACCAAATATCAATGTTAGTTTTCACTAGCCCAGGTACTTCAAATGTTACATTAGGCACCTGTCTAGCAGTGGAATGACCTGTATTATTAAAACCTTTTATTTTACACATGGGTGAATTTGGTTTCACAGGTATGTTTTCTCTGGTAAGGCTAATCTCAGATCCGCTGTCAATTAAAAATGTAATCTTTTTACCATTTAGGAATCCATGTAGAAATGGTCTTCCATTGTCATCCAATACAATTGGAGCGACAAATTCTAACGATATCGGGGATGAATGTGGACGTGATTCTATTTTTGGAACTGGTAATAAACCATTTGTGTCAGTGACAGCCCTTCTCACCCTGTTGTCAGAACAGTTGTTTCTAGTCAAAGTATGAATTTGTTTAACTGATGAGGCATAGGGCAATTCAGTTAAACTTTTATCATTACACAACACAGCAGGTTGTACAAAAGCTGCTTTTTCACATTTTATTTCCATTTTCTTTATTTGTGAGTCAAATTTAAACTTCCAACAATGCCGTCTGATGTGACCTTGTTTATGACAGTGAAAGCATGTGGTATACTCATTATGGCTCACTTGCTTGCATCTGTCGTTGTCATTCTTACTGGGACCTGTAGTTCCTGGCATAACTGTAGTCTGACTATTGTTGTCACTTTGAAGCACAGCTACCTCATAAGTGAGATTGTTGTTTTTCAATTTTCTCTGGATTTTGTCAATGAAACTTACTATGTCATTCAAATTTTGTTTTTCCTCTGCTATGACAATGGTTACTGGGTCTAAATACGTGAATTTCTTTACAAAAGCTTTGATCATAGCTGAGTCTTCCTCATTTTCTACTCCAAATATAATTTTATATGCTTTGGAAAACTTATTTTTAAACTCAAAAGGGTCTTCGTCAGCAGTAGTCTGAAGTAAGTCTAGCATTTCTACAGAAGGTACGTCTTCACCTGTTGAACATAACAGCAATTGTCGCAGTCTGTCTGTCGTGTCATTATGTTTTTTCTGATCTTTATCGTTAATAACAGAATTTTTAATTCGAGACATAAATTTAATTGGTAGCCACATCGGAAATAAATAATTTATGTCATGATTTGAAATCTGATGGCATTTGACATGCATTTCATATATTTCCATGTTGCTGTAGATATCTTTATCTGAATCATAAGCAGGGATGTCTTTTAAAACTTTCATTAATTGATTATGTATTTGCAACTCAAGTTTTGCAGTTTTACATAACAATTCTTTATGTTTAATTTGTGTTTCGTCATCAGAATCAATATCCGAACTTTCAGAGATATCGGACAGCCGTGGCTCTGATTTTGAATCACTCTGTTTGTCATCTGTGTTTATCATGGCAACCTGTTTACTGTCATTCTGCAGTCTTAACAAAAGATTTGTCTTTGAGTCAATTTGTTCCTCAAGATTCTCTATGTAATTACAAAAAAATGTCACAGTTTGGGCAACTAAGAGCATCTTGAGACAAATTTTCATGCTTTTCTGTATTCTGTACAGTGCTACATTCTGTCTGTTTTAATGTACAAGCTTTTTTAACAGATAAATCAACATTCAAAATCATTTTGTTGAATATGCTTACTAAATTTAAGATGTTAGATATCTTTTTACGCTGTCTGTGCACAGTAAATCTAGATTTATCTATCTGAATATTGGCCTGTAAACATTCGTTATACATATAGTGCCATAGCTGACTGTCTTCAGGATATAAAGAAAACATCTTTAAACTCCAGCTTGCTTTCATTAACTAAGTCATCAATAAATTCCATAATTGTTACTCACCGTAATCAGAAGATTTTCTCGTTTGACCCGGCTCAGTCACTGGACCTCTCGTCCACGTCTGTTTAATCGCCTGTTCTGCTAGGTTCTTTTCACCGTGTTTTTCCCCAAGACTTGACAATCACAGAATCGTGCGTTTTCCCCCTTAGCGAGGCATGGGAAGACCGTGGAAAAAACGTCGGCGGTGGCTGGCTCACCAAAATGTTGGATTTTTAGACACATATAATACTTCTTCTAGTGTCTTGAGGTGATTATGAATGAAAGAGCCATTGAAATAAAAAATGAAGTGTGATTTTATTCTATCACACAATGGTGTAAAATAACAAATGTAAAGCGTATTATGAACAGTTCCATGTAGATAACATTACTGTAGAAATAAACGAGCAAAAGTTGAACGATAAGTCACCATTATTTGTCATGGCTGTCCTGGCCATGTGCAGTCATCCATGTCCTTGTCCGTCTCAATGACTTTGTGAAGAAGCCGGAAGTAGACTGAAATGATGATCTAGCAGCTAGCACCTGATGCAGCTTCTCAGACGTGTGTATGCAAGAGTCATGTAGCGTGTAAGTGTGTGTGAGAGAGAGTCTCTCATGTCCGACGTCTCATGGTCTTTTAAGAGGCAAATGTACGTCATAGTTAGTGATCTTAATACCTTCTATGGAAATTATTACTGCTTAGCAAAGCCATTTCATATAAGGAAGGGATGCTATACATATGATGTTTGATGGACAGGAACATATGTATGCTGATATACTAATGACGTAACCCTCAGCTATATATTTAAAGAATAGTATAGCTTAAGAACATATCAATGTATAATCACTAAACTATATATGTATCAATGTTAGAAACATATACTAAATACACACAGATACTATTAAAAATACATAATGTAATAATAAGTCACTTCTAATAACCTTGAAATATGCTACCAGCCTAAATATAGTATACTCAGCCTTCAGCTGGTATATACTATCTCAGCTTAACTTGTATATCTTTTGGTCTCAGCTATAATTGAAGAATAGTAAAATACTACCATTTGTCAAAGACCATTCACACATATTAACCTCCCTGGCGGTATGATTATTTCAGATTTTTGGTGCTGAAAGCGGTACCATTTTTTTGCATGGAAATATGTATTTTTTTAATTGTAGGCCTGTAATTTTTAGGAAAAACTCACTGAAATCTGTCCAAACAAGAGTCTAGTAAACATTCCGGATATGATAAAATTTGAAACACAAAATCATAAATTATAATTTAATAAATAATCATAAAAATAATATAAAAATAATAAAAAAATTTAATTCAATAATATAATCAAACCAAAGTCACTGAAATGTGAAATATAGCGCCAAGTTCGCACATCACTGAGATCAGTCGCAGAATCGTTTTCAGTGTCTGATGATGAATTTCCCCACGAATCATTATCACTCAATTCTGCAAGTGGTTCTGATTTACTATCGCTGTTCTCTAGCTGATCTAAAACCGCTTTTGACCTAAAGGGATGCTTTTTGGATGCCATGGACATTTCTCAGTTTCCAGGCAGAAAGAACAGACAAAATGCAGGCAGGGCGCCGGACAAAGCACTCGGGACAAAATGTATGTGAAATTGGTTGAGACAGCAATGTTTTACTATGTAAAATGTAAAAAAAAAAAAAAATGACATTTTTTAAAATTTTTAAATTTCCCGCCGCCTCGTACGTCCCGACGTCACAGGGACAGGACACAGAAGCCGGATGCCGGCATCGGCCGGAGGAGATGGCCGGGGATGCTGCAGGGGACACATCGCGGGAGCGCAGGGTAAGGTAAGTGAAGCACGAATGCCGGAGCAGTGCCGCATGGTATTCCCGAGTGTAGCTCGGGGTTACCGCTCTTGGTACTGAAATGTTACCCCGAGCTACACTCGGGAATACCGCTAAAGAGGTTAATATTAATTATGACTAATCATAAAAACCAAATATTTTGCAAGCTTGCCATCAATATAAGTGCCGAATCATAATTTAGATTTAACAATATGTAAAGAATATCCTACATAAACCTGCCCACAGTAGAATCTAATATCATTTTTTAGCATGCTTTATTTAACATCATCATCCAAAGCAATTACAACAAGAATAAAACTGAAAGTACAAAAGTGACAGAAATATAAGATGTTTAAGTCACAGTCCACAGTGGTATTTGCCTTGTGGTACATGAACAAGCAAAGTACTGTCGTTAGATATCTGAGAAGCATATTTTGCACCTTGGTGTCGTGCAAGAGCCACAGATACTTTAGATGGAACATTTTAGGTATAATACAGTATTTGAGACACAACTGGGGTATGTAAGGGGGAGAATGGGGTAATAGTGGTGGAACCCATTGATGGTTATTCGATCTTAGAACATTACGAGGATTTTTTTTCTCAGTCCTAAAGTCTTCCTAAGCATGCCTATGTAGAGGTAGAAAACTAAACTAACTTCATGAGATACTTCCACCAGAATTCCCTGTTCTGTCCAATGTATTTTACATAATATCCCCTTACCTCCGTGCTATACATCCATCAGTTAGGTCAGTTTCACAAAGATCAAGTGATTCCCAAAGAAGCCAACACTGCAAAAACCTACTAATTTATATTTCTGTGATGTTATCGCTTTCACACAAGCAATCTTTTTATATATTTTTGAAGCTTGTCTTTAGGTGTAACAATGGTATAAAGGGGATAAAGATTACTTAAGTTCTGACTTTTGCTGCCAGCCTTAGCACAAAGCTAAAATAATTGTTTTCAGCTGACGACTCCTTAATCTTAAACTGAAAATAGGCATGTAAGAGTTTAATGTTTTACTCTAAAAACATAGAACAAATTCCCTTGCACTTAAATGTGTCTGTAAATATTTTAAACTTTTCTGCTAAATCATTGACCTTTTAAGAACTTCATAATTTAAAG